TCCATCCATCCATTATCTCTACACCGCTTAATCCTCGCTAGGGTCATGGGGGACTGGAGTCTATCCCAGCTGACTCAGGGTGAAGGCAGGGGACACCCTGGACAGGTAACCAGTCTATCACAGGGCTACACTTACAGACAGACAACCAAGGACACTCACATTCACACCGACGAACAATTTAGAATCACCAATTAACCTCAACATGTTTCTGGACTGTGGGAGGAAGCAGGAGAGAACCCACGCTGCACGGGGAGAACATGCAAACTCCACACAGAAAGATCCCAGTGCCCCCACCAGAACGCAAACCGGCGACCTCCTTGCTGCGAGGCAACAGTGCTAACCAACTGGCGAAAACACGTTTACAAGTAAAATCACCCGGAAAGGGAATGTACCAACTCTGGAACTGAACCAGAAGTGGTAACGAGGAGCGGCCAATAAGCGTTGTTGTGGTGACCCAAGATGGACAGCAACAGAGTGATGTTTTGCTCATTTTATGGCACACATGAGTCGATTAACGCAGTGTTGTTTCTCAATTTTTAAGGGGCATGGACCAGACAGAAGGACCAGATATGCTGCAGCAATGCATCAGATATTTTATTGAGGGACACTCGTACGCTGTGGTCACAGACATGATGTCATGTTTACATGATGTTCACATCAGCTTAAGGTCTCTGAAAAGCAAACTGAATATGGTCGGGTTGTAATCGGCTCATGCGTGTGCGACAAAACATCACTCTGTCGCCGTCCATCTTGGGTCACCATGAACTCCATAAATAGCAACAACAACTCTTATTGGCTGCTCCTCGTTACCACTTCTGGTTCAGTCCCTGAGTTGGTACATTCCCTTTCCAGTTGATTTTACTTGTAAAAGTGTTTCGGGAGTTTGTAGAAGTGTTTTGCCACTTATACATTTGTTTTGCACTTCCTGGCCACTGTACATGTGTGAAAATAATGTAACTATTAGAATACAGCTGTGATGGAGCTGAGAACTCAAGCTGAGGACAACCACCGTGTAACACATGATTTAAATGCAGCTGATGAACTCTGTAAC